TATTTTTGTGCTTTTAAGTGTTGGACAGGTATTTCACTTAAATATAAAGAGTGTACCTTAAATCACACATTTCAAGTTTTWATTAATACCAATATTATACATTTATTTAGAATACATCTGTTTCCCTGGGGAATATTGAAATATTTTCAGTACATACCCATAAACCATTAGATGTTCCCATATTCTGGTAACATATATCTATCTATAAATTTATAATCATACTCTGACAGAAGTTGCCTCTCTGAAACAGGGATATCCTTCCTGCTACAGTGCTTTCCAAAATCGAGAGTAGTAGAATGATGTGATCATTTTGAACTTGTATGTAAACCTCCAGTTAAAGGACTGTCAGACTACCACAAGCTGACTGTACTGAAAGTGATTCCCACAGGATTTGTGCTCAAAAGGCACAGTTGCTGGCTGTCAGACAGGCATACATGGCAAATACGAGAACAAAGAAAATACTAATTAATAAGCATTATATTCATTATTCATAGCATGCAGATAGTTAATAAATAGAAAAATGCCACAGCTGTAAGCACATTTCTGTAAGTTTGGGAAATGCAAATGTTCAGCTCAGAAGCACTGTTTTGAGAKTTAAAGAATTTTGCTCATCCACTGTTTTCCCTTAGAAAACTACAAGCCACGTAGATATCAAGAAGCGAAGGGTATCAAAATGACAAAACTATGTATGAACCCCATATTATTCAAGATACAAAATTTAGGGGAACAGAGGAATAGGCTAAATAATATTCTAAGATGTTATAAGTTATCTGAATAATATGGTAGCGTCAGACTGGAAAAACAGCTTACAGTTTTCACAGAAAATGTTATTTTTATCAAATAATAGGGGATATAAAAAGGTATGTGCAGTGGCATGAAACTCTGAAAAACATCAGAAGAGGCTGCTTCCAGTACCTAACATGGAACATGGGGAAAGGATAGCTTTTAGGGAATTGTTAAAAATTKCTCTATCTGCATCATCTAGTTCCAGTAGTTGATGTTACAGATTTTTGACCTACATTTTGGGTCAGAAGGAATGTCTCTGAACATGAGCTTTCCCAATTCTATTTAAATTCAGGTTTTTCTGGGAAGCAAGATGCCTGTTTTACATTAAAAATTTGCTGYGATCCAGTTATAGGTGACAGCAAAATAAATTCTTGGGAAGTCCCAGGAGACCTGATTGTGGCAAGTTCTCAAGGTGCCAAATACACTCCAAAGTTCAAAGCCTCATGAAGAAGAGGTACTATGTTTTTTAAAATAGCATTCTAAATAGTAATACATGTCTATATTTATGATAATATGTATCATCCTATATTACATATSATACAGTCCTATTGCTTTAGCTCTTCAGCAAGGAATTATGAAACATTACTTCAATTGCCTCCTCATCTTGAGGGGAATGAAACCAGTATCTGTTACCTTCATTGACCAGACTACAAAATAGCTTGGCAGGAATAAAGAGCTGGATTGTGGCAATCACTGACATATTTCTGTCCTCACTAATGACAACTGGCTGCTTTCAACCAGGTGCCTCTTCAGTGGTATTTGTCTGGGATGGATATTTCCTRGATATATCCAAACCTCCCTGTTGACTGTAAACACGAGTTTAAGATGTTTTTTAGACACTTACTATGTGCAAGGTCCTGTTTTTAGGTGTCCACTAGGTYCTAAAATCTTAACAAAGTTTGTTAATGAAAACTATGTATCTTATTTAGATATAAGAACTCCACKAAAGAAAATTAAAAATAGGCAATGTTGTTTTAAGCTTAGGAAAGCGACAATCTTGAAATGCAGATTTTATTGTTTTAGTTCTTCCTACCAGTTGTAAGTAAGTGCAAGCACATCTCCTTTTCTTTGTAAGTGAGTCATAAATTCAATCTTTTACACTGAAAAGGACTTTGTAACTTCCATTCAAATTACRAATGAAAAGACATTTACTGACCACAGTATAATTGCACTGCTCTGCCTCCATAACTTAGCTATTAAAAGACGTTCTCACACACATATGTCTTTGTTTCCAGAAAAACAGTCTGTCTTGAAATTCAGCATTTGGACAAGAAAGACAGCAGAATGTGCAATTCAGAGGCCACAAAGTCTCAGCTTTGTTTGAAATCCTGCCCTGAATGTGAATGACAGAGAATGAATGTGCCCCCCCGCCCTATATGACACAAGCTGAAAAGTTATGACCATGAACAGCTCTCCAGCCAGCTCCTTGAAACCCACAACGCAATTTGTAGGGGATGGGTTTTATCAAAACACTGTTCCCCACATTTAATGCTGCAGACCAYGGCACTTTGTAACACATTCATCCAGTACAGCCACTGAAGCAAAAATAGAGGAAAAATAGCAGAAGATTAATAGATGGTGATAGTGTGGAGATAAGGCTCAAGGTAAGCAAATTTGTTATATTACCTGTAACTCTGTATTCACTACCCTAATCTGAAAGGGAATCAGGTTCAAATCTAAAATAGAAAAGCCATGCTTGAAATTGCATTTTTWATTTTCATATTGGTGTGCTTTTTAGTGGGTAGGTTCCTGTATTTAGCAGCATAGAATGAATGGAATATTTATAAAGCATTACAAAATACCCTTTTTTTTTGGTAAACTTGTCTGAGCCCCTTTGCAACAGAATGAGTGAATTTTCTTCATGCTGCCATTTAAGATTACCCTTGAAAGTAAACTTTTTCCAGCTGGACAAAATGGTCTTCTCTTACTACATTTTAACCTTACCATCTGCACTGCAGACCAGTGCACTTCTTTCTTAACCCTCCCCAGAAGCCCTTCATGAAAAAATGGAATCGCTGCCCATCTTTGCTTTCAAATTCGACCATGATTATGACAGAAAAAAAAAAAAAATTAAAGACTGAAGCATTTTGATCTGCTCTGGGTTAAAGTCTGCCAGGACAGGAGAGAGTAGACGGATGTTTTACAAGGGCATGTTGTGATACAAAAAGGGGGAAATATTTAGATTAGCTATTGGGAAGCAAATCTTTACTATGAGGGTAGAATGAGACMCTGGAATGAGATACCCAGAGAAGCTGTGGATGGTGAAGTTTTCAAGGCCAGGCTGGATGGGGCTCTGAGCATGCTGGTTSAATGGGAGCTGCCCATGGGCAGGGAGGGCTGGAATTTGATAATCTTTAAGGTCCCTTCCAGCACAAGCTGTTCTATGATGGCACAGGTGAGCGGTGTACACCTTGCACAGACTCATGCCCTGATACTCAGTTTTCTTAGGGTTAAGCTAACTCAGTTTCTAGCACAGGTGTTCAGCAACTCCAAATTCATCTCAAAAACTAACACCACTCAAAAGTGTGTCGGTGGCCATGTAGATACTGCCCTGATATTACAATAATTACTAGCAAACTGCTGTTAATTCTGGAAGAGCCTGTACTTCCCACAATTTCATGTTARTTGAAGACAGAACTGAGTGGGATTTTAAGGAGCTGGGATTTTTACATTTGAGCTCTGCTAATACGTAGCAACATTCTAGATCAGAATGTGTGTTTATAGTTGGCACTGTAAARATCCTTAAAAGAGAGAAGCTGTGAGGTGAAGTCATCCATGAAGGACAACTTTACCAACACTTTGAATTAAGCTCAATGTTTTCCTTCCAATGTTATCCTGTTTCAAAAACAGGTAGAAAAATTATAGTAACAATAATTGTATATAGTCAGAAATGTCGTATCTGTCATTAAACAGAAGTGTGGATAAGAACTTCAAATGTAACAGAGCATAACAGATGTAGAATAAAACTGTCAGCTTTAAGCCTATTAAAATATTAATTGATTATGCATTTGAAGCAAAGTAACAACCACAGAAAATAACAGATATGTATCCAATCAAAATTTGCAGAGAGCTTCTTGACTTTGCAATTAAGAAATTCAATTTCCTACTTCACTAAAGTTGAGATAATCACAGAAAAYGACAAACTCACATCATAATGAATCCACTCCCTACAAAATCTGACAATGTACACTTTTAATGCAGAATATTGGTCAAAGTCCGTCATATCCAAATTCTACCATAACAGAAGAAGCACACTTTTGAAAGTGGACATCAACATGTAAAAAGTAATGCCTTTAGCTCATCCTGTCTTCAAATACAAGCACAAAGTATTTTACTGTGAGTAAAACTTAAATATAAATGAGAAAATCAGAATMATTATCTTAACAGTCTCCCTCTCATTTGTCAGTCTCAATTTGAAAATTCAATGAGCAAGATACAAACAGTGTTTTTCAAAGCTTTCATCAACTTCCACTACTCTCTAGTAGTTATCCTTGTTGGAGAGGAAAACTATAAAGAGAAATAATGACAGAAAGTAGCAAACTGCCAAGGTGTGGAAGGACAGAAAAASAATCGTAAAGAGATCCTCTTTCATTTCAATTTTTCTTTGAATTGGCTTATAAAATAAAAGATAACATGTTCATGAAGAGAATATAATTTGAGTTAATCACCTCATCATATTCAGCATATCATAAACTATTTTGGGATACTCAAAATTAAATAGAATAATGCACAAAGAAATGCTATCCCAGAATTAATGAGCACTGAAACATACAAAGTACTTAATAATGACTTTCTCAGCCCAACGACTTTTTAGAGCTTCATACATTTCCATATCTTTCTTGGTCTGCTTCCTCAGACTGATACTAGCTTTCAAAAACTTTGACTAATTACAGGTTGATGACCTACTGCAGACAAGSAACTTATATTGTACACAGAAGAAAAAGTAGTATTTCAATGTGTTCCGAAACTGAAAAAAAAAGCTTACAGAAAATCTTTCCATGGTGGTTTTAAATATATTCACCATCAGCAACAAATAATTCATAATGCATTTMAAAATTCTAGAACAATATATATGATTTTCATTCAAAATCGCAATCTGTCATATAAAGTAGAAAACAAGTTATTAGCATTTCTGTGTTGAAAAAYGTGTTCAAAAATGTGAATATTTATAAAATTATAGCATTTACKTATTAGATTTATGTATAAATTCTTACCTAAGCTGTTTGAAAGCTTCTGCTTTTACAAGTGGTGTTTCCACAGAGTGTTCAAAAAGTGCTCCTTCAGGCCCTGCAAAAAAAAATAAGAGATGAAAAATACTATAATGTCACAGTTCAAATTGAACAAAAAATAGCAGGAGTAATTTTTTTTTAATACAGCCACTTTGATATTAGAAATCAAGATAAGAAAACATATGTTAAGAATTGTAAGACAATTGAAATATAGCTACACTATTACCATTACAGTATTGATTGGAACAATACAATACAGAAGTAATGTAAATGTACAGCTGTAAATTCTTAAAATGAAATCCAAAAAGTCTGGAGACAGAGAAATTTTAAACTACTTAGAGCAACACAATAAGTAAATAAGATTTACACGACACAACTTTCATTGCAGTTAATAGGGATAATTAAAATCCCACAAAACCTTTGCAAATACTACAGTCCTACATAATCATACTTATTTTTGACTGTTATTTGCATATCACATYTTCTGTCATACAGCTTTATCAAAGATTTTCCCCTATTTGTAGGCAGACTTGCTGAATATGAAATGGTATTTATGTATRTAAAATGGTAATGACTATGAGCTCAGATAGTTTACTTCTTGAAATAAGAATAGTTTCATTCCTGCCTCACCAGGAGCCTCCCTGGTGGACCTGAAAATCTCCCAAAGACCTCAATTTTTGCTCTCCTGTGTACTGGCATAATTGCAGTATCACCAGCCTGGTGACCACCTCCCACCTAAGCTCCTYTAGGGTCAGGAAATTGGCTGATGTAGCACAAAAGCCCATCAGCAACACAGGTAACTGAAAAAAGCAGCTAAACACCACCATCTACAACAAGGGTAGAGTCTCTCAAATTCTGTTCCTTGGCTTTATGGATGTACTCATCAAAAACTGGAGAGGTCTTAGGTTGAGAAATCTTCTCTGGTCTTGAGGACTCACATATCTCAGCACTTCCCAGGTAGATATTAGCAAGACAATATATTTTAATAGTCAGGATATTAGTCAAGGGGGCTTGACAGGCTTGGCTGGCTGCTCTTCATGCCATTACCCTCTGGAAAGATTCTGGGCTGCAAAAAGCTCTAAGGTAGGGATTTAGACTGTGTCTAGATGGAGAATTGTAATGAATGATTAGAAAGCATGGTGTATAATTGTGGTATTAGATACCATCAAATGTGGTATAAAGGGGAAAAAAGAATAAAAAAAAAGGTCAGGGCAAACTCAGAGAACACGGTAAAAAAAAAGTGAAATAAAGAGAAAACATTAAAAATGAATACATTGCTTAGACAATTGATAGGAAGATTGTCAGGATGTTCTGAGAATGCATGAAATGTGTTGCTTTTTGAGAAGAGTTTCAGCTGAAATCATGATTCCTTAGAAAGAAATCTCCTTGGCTTGAATGGAAGAAAAGTACAAAAGATATAAGAATTACCATATTAAATCACTTCAGCACTTYGAGGAAGAATTGATTTACTAAGCTTATATTTAAATTTTATTTAGCTGTTGATACCCTCCATATCAATTTAAATAGATTAATCTTTCTGTAARTTACAAACTGGCATGACTATAATATGGGAAAATATAAAATTTATTAATTCAGACAGAGCTTTAATTCTTCTTCATTAACACTTAATTTCATTAACATTAAGATTATTCTGCACCTCAATGAATAAAAAGCGTATATCAGAAAATGCGGATTTGGTACAAATAAGGTATTTTGCAGGATGACATTTGGGGACATGGTTTAGTTGTGGACTTGGCAGGGCTGGGTTAATGGTTCAGCTTGATTTTAGAGGTCTTTTCCAACCTAAAGGATTCTATGATCCCATGGTTCTCTAAAGACAGGTAAATGCTAACAGCGATAGTATCACTTACATGGAAATAGGAGGAACAGGACAGGAAACAGAATGAAAGAAACAGAACAGGAAACATCAATGTTAATGTTCTGGGTTGTTGGTGGGTGGTGTAACATGAAATGAAAAGGCTGATTTCCATATTCTAGAGCTGTCACCTCTAAGCAAGGGTAATACCTTGCCTTTATGTGAGTAAAACTTATTCCCCAAAGAGCATTAAGTTTTAGCAGTACACCACTAATAGAAAAAAACTCTCAAGGCAACTTTTTTTTTGAAAATTATCCTAAATTCATTTCTTGTCTTCATTTCCTATTTTTTTTTTTTTAACTGGGATATGACTTTTACTATATTTACTATTTTATAGGCTACTGTTTATTAAGATATTGTAATTTAATCCTAAAGTACACAAGAACAAGACATTAATTTTCTCAATGAATTCAGCAAGATTCATCAACACCCCACGCATCCCATCAGGCAAGGACAATTTGCCTCCTCAAAGTCTGACAGAATGTTTACTCATACCCTCAAATTGCCTCCTACTTAACTTCCCTTCTGAACAGAAGTGTTTAAATTAAACACACACTGTCACACTGCACTTCAGCATTAGCTACGTAAACTGAAGAACAGAGTGCTTTAAATCTTTGCTTAGAACAGAGTGCTAGAAAATCACAGACAATGCCATGCAAATACTTTAGGGGATTTTTATAAAAGACAAACAAGTAGAAGAACAAGCAGTAAACTGGACAAAGGGTGATCTAAATATGCTTTTCCATAGAAATACTGATCCTCTCTGCCAGCTTTCCTTTAAGAAAAAAGAAATGTAGATGTGGTACTTGGGGATGTGGTTTTGTGGTGAACATAGCAGTGTTAGATTAATAGCTGGAGTTGATCCTAGAGTTAACCTTTACAATTCCCTGCTTCTGTGAGCCTGCCATGACAATGTCATAAAGCAATCGGCTCTTTGCCAGCCAACACATGTGCAAGGTGGATTTCACCATCACCAATGACAGCTGAATGTACAATACCCTCCCAGGACAAAGCATCGATGTTCAGTGCCTCCACCGCAACATAATAACGTCTGCAAAATGCAGGCCCTTACTGAAAAAATAATAAAGACRATGCAGTTGGAGCCCATTCTCCTTCAGGAGCAGTAACCCCCASTCATGAAGGGTTAAGCCGAGCTTCAGTTTCAGATGCTTAAATTTAAGTGTCTGTGATGTAGATGTCACAGATGAGCCAGAGGCAATGTTTTGTCGCCTAATCACATGCACTCACTGTCATCTGAAACACCCTGGTGCATTCTGCCTGGCCTCCAGTGGTCACGATGGCAGGAAGCATCTTTTGGAGATAAAGTGATATTATGGGGTGTCTCACACACCCCAAGGTGTTTCACACACAGCTGGATGCCACTGTTTGAGCACGGGGGCTCAGGCACTATCCACTAATCTGAGGGAGACGAGTTAGCCCTGGAGCTCTCCCCAAAGCAGAGAACAGCATTTGSTCGGCACCAGAGCTCTGCCCRGGGCAGGTGCTGRTGTCTGCCCCTTGCACTGTTCTATTCTACACATGGGCCAGAAAATGTCTGACTGGARTTGTATGAGTTGAAGCATATTAATTACGGGAAAATGACAATTCTCCGTGTGTTGGATTGGATTATATTACTCTTAGACCTTTTCCTTTGTCCTGGAATACAAATCATAGACATTTGCTCTCTGCTATATTGTATTTTAGCTAAAACCTTCAAGTTTTCTTAAAAATCGTTACTGGGCTTTTCATAACTCATATAAAAATGGAGAAGTAAAATCAAATAATTCACTACACTGTACATAAAAAACTAAAAAATGTTCTTTGTGCRTTTTAAGCCCAGGATCATCTGTTTTTTATGGAATAAACTTTTCAAAATGTATTTCACATCGATCTTGTTCTCTATCAAAAATGTTTAAAAATAATCTTGGTATGCAAAGTATTACTAATTTATCCTTCAYGCTAATAGTATCATTTAAATCACAATAATTTATCCTTTATGCTAATAGTATCATTTAAATCACAATTTAAATAAATTAATTTGAAGCAAAGTAGGCATGAATTTCTTCTCACTTAGATTCATTTTACACTGAAATAACTTCTACTGACTTTAATGTATTTGCTTTGAATTTTACTACAGTGTAAAAAAAGAAACAGGCAATGTGTCTTACTACAAYATCTGCTGAAGTAAATAATTATTAATGCACTTTAAAGATTAATATTGGATGAGTCAATAACTAACATTAGCACAACCATTTCAACTCATGTATGAATGATTTTTACTTACTAAGAGCAGACATRATCTTTTCCAAATCAGTTAACAATTATGCAATTTTTCATATCTTTGTTAAACATGCTTTTCTATTAAAGTTTAGCATCCCTTGGGCAAACAATAATTATTTGATATGGTTTCCTGGTTAAAMAAAGTTGTAATTTCAATTAGGTTAMAARGTAGAAARCCTTAAGATAAGACCYTCAGGCATAAACAAAATTTATTAACACAATTATTATAACTTAACTTTGGCTTTGAAACACTAATTGTGTAGTTACTACCATATTTATAGCCTTGACAGTCAAATAATATKAATTTATTTATTAAAATGAAAACCTCAAGATTTCAGAGGACCAGTAATTAGCAAAAGTCAAACACAATAGTTGCAATCAGGTAAAAAATATTAAGAGTGTAGTCGAAAACAAGTAACAGAATAATTTCAGTATTTCCTTTAATGGATTCCTCTGCTCAAAGAGAAATCACACCCTGATGTATCTCTTTTAATGCAACCTTACACCTAGAAAATGAAAGTTGACTTTATCTGGCCATATGAAAGGAAGTAGCTTTTCATGTGATAACCTTGATRTATTACTTTGTAAATGAGTACTTCAGTGATTTGCAGAAATAGTCTAAGACAAACTTGTCTCTTGACAGATGACATTTAAAATATACTACAAATATCATCCKGTGACATATGTGCTACTCACAGAACAGAAATACAGTGGCTTTCACTTTGAAAGATAAAACCATATAAAAATAACAGAGAGACATTAAAGTTAGCACAAATCAAACTCTTTACAACTCAGACTGGAATATCTAGAATTTTTTCAGCCTCGAACAGTGTGCACTGGAAACATTAAACAATTCAGAAAAAGATGCACCAGTACAATTCTGGTTACTAATGGCTTTAAAATAAAACACACATATACAGAAATATTTACATATATATACATATATATACACACACACACACATATGCATATATAAAAAAAAATCATTGTTTTGTGTTGAAAATTCTTACCGATTATTTATTGAAAAAGGTTTGATTATCTTCATATTTCTGTTTCCTAATGAGGTAAAACCAGACTTGCATTCACACATAATAATATACTTAAAAATGCCATTTTTACTGTGCTTTTCTTATGGGTATTACTCAAGCATTTCTTAAACCATTACAAACCTGTGACTCGAAGCTTATCTGTGCCAATTACAACTTCATTTTCATCCACTGTAAAAAGTGGCTTTCCATCCTTTGAGTTGATCTGAAATTGCTGACTGTGGAATTCTACCATTTTAGGACCTGCAAAACACAATCAAATATTGGCATAATTACATCATCTTTCTTAAATTTTATACATAAATTATTGGTAATTTTAATTGGAGTCTTAATAATGTAATGACTCATTTAAGTACATTGAAGGTCATGAAGCACCCACATATTTTAAGTGTAGTGGCCCTGTAAGTACTGAAATTGGGTAAGTCTATTTACATCATCTAATTTGTTGTTCAAATGCCTGGAGCCTTCCTTTACAGTTGGGTTTCCAGGGAATTTTGGAAGTCCCACTCAAATTGATCCCAGCAAACATTAATGTTCTTTGTATTGAAACTGCCTTGATCAGCATGAATCTTTTTTTCTTTTTTTTTTTTTTTTTTNGAAACTATTTATCAGAGACTTTGCAGCATCATCCCTTTTGTTAAGGAGGCTCAAATGCTTTAAAATTACAAACATCCCATGTAAGAGAAGGACCTTAGCTCTTCATAGCAGATGCCAGTTTGGCTCCACATATCTAACAAATGTTACTGAGCATGTTCTTACAAGTTTCAAGACCATAGGAGAATATTCTGGTATTCCAAAAATTAAAATAATTTTGAGTAAGAGAATCTTTGCATATTTCCAGATCCTAAATTCACTAAAACATCTTGTTTTATGGTATTAACTTGGTGAGGAGATAAAAATCAAACCCTTTATATTCCCTCTTCTAGCAACCTGATCAATTAAAATTCACACCACATCTAGTCTGAATATCTATTCGTAGAGTTGTCATCATAAATCTATATTCAGAACTAAAATTACAGAGAACAGTCAAAGCAGTTAAGACTCCCTTTCAGCAATTTTTAAAAAATGTATTTCACAGACTATCCACAGTAGTGAGGGGCACTGAACTGCTTCCTTCCCATTAAGAGCCTGTTTTACCATGTCTGCTCCCATAAATGTTAAATATATTCCAGGATGTAATTTTCAAAAGAAATAGTATTTCTTTTTTTTTTTTTTTTTAAGGTCTTATGTTAAAGGGGCATTAGGTAACAGATGATTGATACAGCTAAGAAATACATGCAGGTACTTCACAAAATCTGGTTAGTAGCTGGGACAAGAGATGTGCACCATAACAATTGCTTATTGTTTCACTCAGCAGATGCAAAACACTGCTTTCAACTGCCCACTGAAAACAGAAAGAGTTTGAGAAGCCATAAAGTCCTAAACTATGGCAACAACTTTAAGGCATAAACCCCAATGTCGATTCTACCTGAAAATGGTCAGGATAGAGGGTTGAGCTCTGCATTATGTTATGCTCTGCTGCACATGTGCACCCAAGCACAGCCTTATGGACTCCAATTTGACTAAAGCTATTTTCTAAAACTAAAGCTAATTTCTCTAAAGCTATTCTGAAGCCYTTAGCTGTATTTCTGAGAAGTATGTTGCAAAAAGTGAGATCAGAAAATATCTTCATCAAGTGAAAAGGCCTTAAACAGTATTTTAAATTTTTATTTTATTTTTAAAAAAAAAAAAGTTTACAGCAAAGGAAACAGTTCTGCATAAGTGAGGCAAGGATGGGTCCCTGTCAATGGTTTCCTAGAAAATCTTGGTTAAAGTTTTATTTAAGGTCCTTTCCAGCCCAGGCCATTTTATGGTTCAGTGATTGATTGTTCCTGTTTGTGCCCAGCAGCAATATGAAACTGGCCATTTATGTAGTGTAGCTAGATCTTTGTGTATTCCAACAAATCAAAGGCCTGAGTAAGGTGGATATTATCAACTTTAATGGTGTTGCAGGGACTGCATTCATCCAACCTCACCATTTTACAGCTAGCTTAATTAAGGAAAAACTCTACTTCTCTGCAGTCACTGTGAGAGCACTCACTGAACATTACATACTTAACAATCCCTTTGAAACTACAGCTCATGGCCTTGCCCGTGCTGGGTTTGCATCCAGATTGTTTGATCCTGGACCTTGCATACTTGAATAAAAGTTTAACAAGAATCTTTATGTCCACAGTTTTCTTAACACGAGTGTCCCAGTAACGTGGGACAATGATTATTCTACAGATAATCTTCATTATTGGAGAATGGTATGGATAATAACTGATGTATTTTAATTCATGTATTTCCTCTTAAGAGGGAATGCTAGGGTAAACAAAATTAAAGTGTATGTTTTATTTATGCTAGAGATGAGACATCTCAGTATGTGTGGAAAAAGTTTCAAAAAGGAATAATAGGCTTTTATATAAATGGGAATAAGTATATGTAATGAAAAATAGCCATTGATTTCTCTTAATTGTATTCCACAATACACATAAACTAGCTATATTGCAATAACACTAATTGTATTGTAATCCCAGTGAGATTAATTTTCAACTCATAAACAGCAGCCAAACTCAATATCTGAAAGTTTAATCTCCTAATACCTAAATGTGTTCTCTTTACTACCCCAGTATATTAACTACATGTAATCACATGTAGTTAATATGTAGTACAATATAATCACATTTGTTGATAAAATCCTGCAATTGAAAATGCAACCTGACTGAGTACAGGTTATAGAAAGTGTTTGTTTCCTGCTTTCTGCCAGATGTGTCACATGAGTTTCCAGATCAATGGGTTATTCTTGTTAATCAGACTGACCATTGCCTATTGTTTCTGTAAATTTCCTCCTTCAATGCACAGCCCTGAGTAGACCTCATAAGCAATCTTCTCACACCTCTTGACACTGAGGATTCTGCTTTAWATGATGCATGTTTTTTTCCAAAAACAACTGACATACTGCTAAACAGTCTCCCTTTCAATTTGTCCTCCTCACTCTTTACTTCCCTAGAGATTTTCCAGGGAAGGAAGGTTTTTGTTTAGTGACTCTATTTCAGTTGAAAAGCATTTTAATAAACTTCTGCATTTTAATGCCTTCTGCTGCTGCCCAAACTTTGAATCCCAGGCCAACACAAATATAGATCCACCAGACAGCAAAAGATCTTCTGTCAAAAATGGGCCCTSCCCTAAAGTAAATGTCCTGCCATAAAACAAATACTTGATGCCAATGAAACTGGGGGAAGTCTGAAATTTGGAGAGTCTGCCTACATGTTACCAGCAGACAGATACTTCGAATAGTTAGTTCTGCCAAATACTAAGCATTTTTAGCGTGTCTTTAGATCTTCCAGAGGAAAAGGCTTTCCAACATTGGATTTACTCATGTAATTTCATATCATTTATTTTCTTACTCCTTTATTATCCATCATTACTGATAACCTATGGCTGTCAGATACTCTGTATATTTTGCTTTTCTGCTACCAGCTTTCATCATTGACGTGTCGAGCATAAAGCAAAACCCTGAGTGCTTTGAGGTATTCCTATGCAATTTCCTTTTTTAGTTAATTTTTATCAAACTAAAGCACCTTAAAATAAGATCTCATTAAAAGAGTATTAAAAATGCAATACTCCTACAGATTCATTTCTCATTCCATGAGTGATAGAATACAATACCAATAAATGTAAAGTCATTGCTTTCAGAAACATAAAATTAGCCATATGGAATGGTATGATACTTCATTAGAACAAAGGCTTTATTACAGAGAATATGTAGCACATTGCACATATGCATTTTATGTCCATATCATAGATCTCTCCTAACTTTAAACAACAGCTCTAACAGAACACGTGCTGCTCCTGTTTCCTCTTTTTCTCTCAGTTCTCCCTTTATGCAGTGGATGAAACAATGATGTTCTCTCAGACCATGCCTTACTGTCACCACTGTTTGTACTCTTGTTATCTGTGACTGAACACAAGCCYAGAGATCTTAAAAAATTGTTTCTGAAAGATGACTGTGGACACTGAYCATACAGACAGTGGCAAGCCAACTAGAGCTAGGTATTTAGGTGACAGTACTTGCCACTCAGAGTGACTTAGCTAACTCAATATTTTCATCCAACTAGGTATTAGCCTTAAAAATACTCAATTTAAATACAGAAGTGATAAACAATGAAATATTTCACTGTAGAATGGGTTACTGCATGCAGAAACCATGGCAGCAACGGGATATGGCGTTTCTCACACTGACTTGACAAAAAGTCTGTGGTGTCCCCTTTTCTCACAGGCTTGATGAATACAGATTTTGTTSGATGACAAATAACTACAACAAGAAAAGGTGATATACACAGTCCTCAGACAGATATGGTGAAAAGGAAAATACTAAAGGAGATGAGGCATGATAATTTGAAACCCTGTATGCAGAGACGATAGCTTATTCCTAAATTAGTACTTTAACCACTCAATYGTCTGTACAATGGATATTCTCTTGAATTGAAACAGGCAAGTTCAAAAGTGTTCAAAAAAAAAAGTGGATGTGGCACTTTGTGACATGTTTTAGTTGGCATGGCGGTGTTCGGTCAAAGGTTGGACTTGATCTTGGAGGTCTTTTCCAACTTTAACGATTCCATGATTTATTTTGTCTCTAGCTCTCCTAGTATCAGCGCAAGTTAGAAGTTCTCCTTAAGCTTTTTTTTTTTTTTTTTTTTTTTAGTGTAGGCTAAACAGACACAACCTCTTCAGACTTTTAGGCTTCATGTCCTTCCACTCCCTGACCATCCCAACAGCTCCCTGTGGGCACAACCTCTCCCAGCTCACAGCTCTCTCACACTGGAAAGGGATCAACAGTATTCCAGGTGTGGAATGATGGAGCCCAGTGTGCTACTAGGCTCACTGCCAAAGGGTACACTGCAGGCGCATGCTCAAGCAGTCCACYATGGGTTTGAAAATACTGCTGCATTTGAAATGACTAGGAGTTTAGATATACTTAATTATCCAAATTCTATCTTAAATTACAGTCACAATAAATTTCAGCTACTTTAAGCTGACCTTTACAAATTCATCTAGCATTAACCAAGGCCAATAAATCAGTATTTCTGGTGCAGGAACTGTTCTCACCTTTAGCAGTAACTATTACCTTCTGATTACCACCCAATCACTTATGTTAATGATTACTGTACCATCAGAACCAAACTATGTTTCAGATTGCAAATGCGTTGAAACTGTGAAAGTTGAGAAGATTTTTCACTTTTTTTGAATTATTTTCTTCCATTGKAATAAAGAGATGATGAAGCTACTCAGATGAGTAATTGCTCCCTGATGAGAGACAGGTATCCACCAACTGCAACTGGTTATTTTCCAAATAAAAAATTATTTCCCAAACATTAATGGGTTATTTTTCAGAGCCAAACTCAGTAGACTTATGTATTCTCACTGTCTTCTAGACGCAGTGAGAAGAAAAAAGACAGCACAGGATTCAAATTCCCTGGGCCAGGATGCATTTCCCTTTAAAGTGTATTACAAGCAGAATTTAGTGTCTTCTGTATGTTGAAGCCTCTTTACATGATCCTTGAAACACAAGTATCTTAAAAAGATGGTTCTGCTTTTCAGCAGTGACAGTTGGAAACATACAGCTCTTCATTCACTTATTATCCAGGACTGAAACATGACTGGAAAAGCTGAGAATATTATTTACATCTCCTGAGAAGCTGTACATAGAAACCTATGCTTACTTAGGTAAAGCAYCATTTAGTGTTTGATACCATTGTCGCTCTTAAGAATTTGATAATTGACAATATAGTCTATATGTTTCTTTTATGCACAATATATTTATCATTACTCATTATCGGAAAAAGTTTGACAAGTTTTTCACACTAASCTGATTTGTTATTGCTCAGGATATGAATCAAAACTGCTGCATTTCTCTTTTATTCTAGGACTGAATAAGCCTTTGAATTGGTTAGGAACAGGAATCTTGGAGGTGATAATTAGCAGCTTTTTTGGGTTACYGAAGAAAGTTCTAGAGAATTCACTTGTGAAGGTTGATAAGGAAGCTGTGATAGTGACACCTGAATCTTATTCACCATTTTAAAGACAGGGACTATTCTAATGAAAATAGTTACCATCTGTTCAGTAGACATCTTTGCCTTGCAAATAAGCAACTCTCTCCACAACTTTTTTAATTCCCTATGACTATCAATCCTGTATCTTCCCAAAACATACAGATGAACTGAGCGGCACAGCCTTTGAGCAAGAGCGATCACGTTGGAAGTTGCCCACATTCTATGTCTTTGTACTATATCTGTGATTCATGAAGGAATGCATAGTATGTGCCTCTTATCTTCATATGGGAATTTCCAGAAACTCCTCAAGTAAAGATTTGTTTCATATCTCTCTTGTGAATTACTTCTGTTTGAAGACTGCATATTTAAATAAATTCTTAGTAACTTACTAAACTATTTTAACAAATCATTTGAATCACAATTTCCATGAGTTAAAAAAAAGGTATTTTTKTTGTAATCTTGTGAGACAAGCCGTATTATATTGTCATCTTTGTAACAATCCAAACTTCTCTATACAGCTCCTTCACAATTCCAGTTAGTCCTATGTATAAGATTACTAGAGTTTTAAGACATAATTCCAGCATGTTGGCAATTATGGAGGGTATTACTTCATTAGCAAAGGCTTGTGCATGTAAAATAATCACACACCTTATCACACTCCTTATAAAGGACCATCAACCTACATGCTTGCATYCTATGACTGGCTAAGGACAACAGCTAAAAATGTCAAGCTGTGTATTTACATAAACAGATTGTCACCCTAGTCACTGCTGGTTTTTCCCAGCAAAATTGACTGTTTCCAGCACTAAAGTTCTATTTGTTATCAGGAAGATACACTACGGGTGAATATCTCAGACTGCTCTTTTATAGAGAGTTACATTGCAGATGTTCAAGTCTGAATGCCCAGTTGATTTATACCACTCTTAAGTGCTGACATTTCTTTCCCCAGCAAAGGTTTTTAACTGTTTATGGAGAAACATTGCCAGATAAGCAATTTGCCTTCCACCTGCCAAGGGTATCTCATGTTTCCAGCTTGCCTTATTTGTACTGGGWCAAGGTCTCTTAATTGCATAGTGAGTGTATTGAAATACAGTGACTGAATGGAGCTTAGCAGACAGAATGGGCACATTCTGGTACAGTGATACAGCACTGATACAGYGCTGGTACATGTGTTCTCTTGATGGGCCACCACAAACAGTGCTCAGCAGACAGAAATCATTAGCATAACCATGGAAATATTTAGATTTGATCACATGGTTGCTGAACTGCTAATTGCTGCAAACTGATTTATTAACTTTACTAATAATATGAAACTGTACATGTCATACTCTTGATTATGATCAAAATGAGATATGGATGCTACTGCCAGGTTTTGATAAATATTTAGGGGCATTTTCTTAAGACAAGTCATTCAGATCTTGATTGTTGACTGAACTAAAAAAAGGGAATTTGAAAACATTTAAAGGCTAAATTGTGATTAATTGCATAACTACATTTTTAAGGAAATAGCAAGCTTCTTTACACATTTAAATTATTTTCCTTTTGTTTGAAAACAGTGAAGCTTGCACATAGTTCAATGAAGTGAAATGTCAATTCTTCAAGCATGAGTTGTCACAGAAGTTACATAGTCTCAACAGCATGGAAAAGTTGCTCATGAATGCTCAGCTGTGTCTCAATTTAGTAAAYCATTTAAACATATCAGGTTAGTCTWCAGTTWAACAAGCAGGAATTTATGCTTTGCTCCCTGGGGATCTTGTAAGAAATGAATTAATAAATTGTTACATTTTTCTCCAAAGTCAAATAAAGGTTGAAAAATAGCAACAAGGCTAAGTAAAATTCTTTAGTAGCTGATACACATTGTTGCTTTAGAAATATGATTTAAAGAGTAAGGTCTGCTTATTCATACAGCCAAGATCTTTCAAAACTGTCTAGATCTATTGATTTCACTGAGTAAACCAATGTATTTTACTGCTACCATAGATAGTAAAAGATATAAATGTCTGAGTTTTGAACTTGATTTTTTTTTAGGTTGCCTGCTTAAATGTATTAGTCTCTGGAATACCAGGAAATAAAGAGAGACTCTAGCCATATTTTCTTAGAAACTGATTTGTAAATACCAATAGATATTTACACAAGAAAAATACCAATAGATATTTACACAAGAGAGTAACTTTTGCAGAAGCCTTTCTTGCATAACTCTGCAATAAAGAAGTGCTTCAGAGATTTAAAGAATCAAACTTAACTGAGAAATTGAAAATACACTGCTGCTACTTACCAATAGCAGCTGGAGTATTCAAATAYGGCCAAAACAGTAATAAATAATTACATGTTTAGTGCTTTATATTCTCTAATCTCTTTACAAATGTTCCTTACAATGTTTCCAAAGCAGTGAACAAGGAATAATCACMGACTTACCCACATTTAATCTGCCTGTGACTTCCCCATTTGAATTGCGAGCATTCACAGTCACATTGTGAGTAGACTGGAGAAGCAGTGATGAGTCCTGCAGCATGGAGAAAGAAAGAAGCATGTTAGGCAGAACAATTAGAGTTTTTAGAGACTGCAAAAAATTGTGAAGAATTTTTGAATTTTAGTCTAGTGGTGRTATGAACTCAGTCACCAAATGATCCTTGCAGCTACAAATATCCAGAGATGTCACCAAATAATGTGGGCGGATATTTCTGATTACTACAACTATATCAGATTTAAAATAATAAACTATAGGGARTAATTCAGGTGAACCAAATCTGTGTTACTGGACCAATGAACATGGCTRCTAACATTTTATCTTTTAGAAAAAATGCTTTACTAGATTTACTACCTTTCAATACATAACAGAGATGCCTAGAAGAGAATCATGTAACTGAGTGTGAGCACTCCCCTTTGAGAACTCATCCTGTTGTATTAATTTGGTGAGAAACATGCATGTACATTTTGCTTCCTCAGTGGTCCCTGCGGTCTGTAGGCTGTGGCTTAATTTCAGCACCTGGTCCTGACTCTCCTGGGAAGGAAGATGCAACAGTGAGTGATGGAGAAAGCAGCAGGCTGACCAGATCAATGCGGACTTTAACAGACAGTAGTACAAATAAGTCTGTTAGTCTAAATCAAATTGTCTCCCAGCCTGCTGCTCTGAAGGATCACAGAAAGAAGTGCATCAGTGCAATGAAGAGCAGCACCTGCTTGGCCACATCCCTGAATCATGACTTCAGCTGCAATATTTGCTGAGCGATCAGAGCCTCATGGCTACGCATCATTCTATGCTGCTTAAGGAAGCCAGGGCATGCCAAAATGGTGTAGTTGGTGTCTTTGCTCATCCCAACTGCACTTCATCACAATCCAGACTAGCTAAGGTAAGCAGTTTAAAATTTCATATTATTCTTGGACTGCAGCCTGTGTGGAATTGCTTCACCAATACCAAAACATCCCATCGTGTTAACTCAAGGCTTCTTCTTTTCCTTGCTGACCTCCTCCCCAGTGATGCACCATTTCCATTAGTTATTCCCAGACTTGGCACTCAAACTCTGTCTTTCAGGCCTGATGGACCCTTCTCAAGCTACTCCTTGTCTTGAACAGCAGATGAGCAGCTGTTCTGAGGGACCCAGCTGCTCACTGTGCCCCATCAGACTGCACACACACACACTGATGAACCTGGCTCACAGCAAGAGACCTGGATGGGGGGGCATTCGAAAGTGTCCTAAMGATTTGTGAGGAAGGAAGAGTGTTTTCTTCTAATGTTTTTACTTAATTGACCACCTGACTTGTCTTTAAATGCAGATGATTTTCAGGGGTACCATTGTGGCCACTGTCTTTACTTGACATTAAGTGCAAGAAAATTATCTGGGGATACAAAATCTTATCATGCTCCTTTGGATCAGTAATACACTGGTAGATTTAAAAAGAGTTTTTTGCAATACAGGTGCTTTCATACTAAAGCAGACTTTGTGTGTAAAGGACAAAAACTTAGTAACTGATAAGAACARCCTAAGCATATCTCAGTTGCCAAAGGATAAGGGAATATATGACATGGAAAAGGTATTGTCAAGCTGCTTGCTTGTGACCTCAGTGGAGATACTCATTCCCAGATAAATGAGTTTCTAACTGCTGGAATATTGTTAAAAGAGATAGCTCTTTCACAGCTATGGCTTCTGGTACTTTTTCTGGACCTGACACAGACTATACAGCACCTTGAAGGGCTAACCCCTGAAAATAACCCCAAGGCATGTTCTCATCTCAATTTAATGCTTAGAGTATGAGAGAACCTGGGAATTTTAAACACTTTACATACAGAATTTTACTACAAACACTTACTAAGTAACAGAAACACAAACCACTGCAACCTGATTAAAAAGTAATAAAATAAAGAGAAGCAACACACTATTTGGAGTGAAACATACTTTTTTTTTTTTAAAGAAAACAAACAAAATCTTAAAAGTAGGTAGGGAGGCTCTCAGAAGCCATTAAGTGAGTGACATAAATTAATTTCATTTTGTAAATTGTATCAGGAAAACATGAAAGCTCCCAGAATTAATACAAATAATGAAAAGTCTCAGGAAAAAAATAAGCCATATGCTAGAATGAACATTTATGGTAGTAGGTCAGCATGAAGCAGAAAAGGAAGGTCAACAAAGATAGAGATTGGGTAAATACAATACATTTAAGTAAATGTGTCAGATGACCCACAAATCTGGGCATCCTCATTGCATTTATTTGGGTACCACTGGTTGATTAAAAAAAAAAAACTAGGTAGTAATTTGTGATACCAAATGAAAGTGAGAATAAACTGTACTCTAGACCTGCAGCTACCAYATATGTGCTTTTTACTAATTAAAATCTAGTAACATATTTAAAAAAGCTCATCTTTTATCTTTCCATGAAAACGTACTAGCAAAGATGCAATGGTCTTGCCCACAGCTCTGTATTGGACTTGTAATGAACACATAAACTTGTAACAGGTTTTAGAGACAATGCACAACAAGTAGATTTTCTGCTACGTATTTTGTTAGCACTTTGGAGCCCTCATTAGGTGAGAAAACCCGTTAGGAGACTGCAAGGAGAAAACTATTAAGGCAAGGGAGAAAGCTGCTTTGATAGCTGGAAGGGACCCAGTTCTCCAAGAAAAACTTAGAGAAAGAAAGCATAACAAATAAGTAACTTTATGAGAATAAACATATAAATGGCAACTCAGGAGATCAAGCTACAGGCAATTAAGCCTTTAGAGAGTTCAAATATTTAAAAAAGCAAGAATACAAACAAAAAACCTCTGATGAGTTGTCAGCAGTCAGAGAGCAGTAGCCTGAAGGCTCTAATTAATGCATGCTACTAATGATCATGACGGGTCATTAGACAGCCAAGCTGATATGAGATGCTGCCACACCTCTTTTCCTATACTGCACTAAATGCATTAAGAGCTGAAAGGAATATTAAGAGAGCACAAATGGTAGCTTAACATTGCATAATGATCTTTGGGAGTAGAGGGAGTTCTTAAGTATTAGCTGTGCTGGTCTTAAAAAGTTACATGTCTTAYTGGATAAACAAACTCAGGGGAAATTCATCTAAGCACAAAAATGGTTTCTCCACTGCCTGTGAGGCAGAAAAGAATAAAGCAGAAGAAGCTAAATGGGAATATAGGTATAGCAATGGAATTTCACTGTCTTAATTAAGAGCTGTTCCTGAAACTGGAAATATTTGTTGCAGAAAGGGAGAAAAAGAAAAGCTTAAGTAAAATATGTTGTCATTGCTTTAATTTTACTAATCAAGCASGTTAACAACTTCATTCTGGTGAATTTATTTACATTTTCTCTCGCTATAGCAATACAAGCACTAACTTCTTCTTTAAGTTCAGAAAAATCTCATAGGTGGCTATTTTTTTTCAATTTTGTTTGAACGTATGAAGAAGCCATATTTGGCTTTTACTGAATAGTACTGTATTCAATGCAAGTCCCATTGGTTGATGATAATGTTCATAAAACAAATCTTTATTCTGTGAGATGTTAGACTACAGACAATAGTTCTGAAAAATATTTATTTTATTGKCCAGAAGCAGATATCTCTCTACAAAAAATTCACTGAATAAGTTTCAGAATTCCTCTGGATAATTAAAATCCAAATCAGATTCTCTCTTCCTTTTCCTAAACCCACTACTTCCATACCATTTCCATTCTCAGTGACACTTTAAAGTTAAAAATTTTGATAAATATTTGACCAAGTATGTTATTCCTTTTTTACCTCACTAGTAATAGTAACAACAAACTGTTATGTCTAGGTAAACTGGATTAAATGCCAGATCTTTACATTTAGACTTGTGGATTTTATATACACAAATATATAAAGATACCACACATTTAATAGCATGATCCTTGAAGTGAAAAAGCCTAAACATATCAGAGAAATTGTAACTTTTCCATTGGGATCTACTAATTTTAGAGATATTGAAACTATTCTGTAGCTCTATTCCTAGGGAAGCCAATATATATCAATACATATATACATATATAAAAAATTGTATTTTCATGACAGATGTCTGGAAATTTGCTTAAGTTCAATTATTCAGAAGTACATTCATTTTATTTAGCATTAGTGAAAGATTACCCACTTACCATTCTAGAATGGATTTCTTTGGCATAAAGAGGGAATAAGAACTCAGATTCCCCTTCCAGTCGAAGGCCTTCTTTTGTAACACGCAGGTGTCCCATTCCAGTCTAAGGAGAAGATAAGAGAATTATGCACATTTTATTATTGTYGCTGCATTTATTTTGTGCTTTTTTAATGATTTGATCATTTTCAGTGCTTTCTGCCTCGGGTCTACTGATAAACATACAARCAATAATGCAGTTAAAATTTTGAGAGTTCCTTATTTCTTCCAGGAGTAATTTTCTGTGAGAAACTGCAGGTTTCATGAAGTTATTAAACTTGGTGGTTTTTTATTTTATTTTTTTTTGAAGGGTGGRGTGGAAATACACTATTATAGTCAATATACTTCAAAAAAAGTGTGATTGTATTGGCTGTGCTGAAATAGCACCTGTACATCCCTTCTAAAAATGTAATCAACAACAAACTTACATATGAGCACTGACATAAAACAAACTTTATATTAACATCTCAGTGTTAATTCTTTCAATAATTTAAACCTACAGAACAGACAAAGAGGGTTTTTTATTTCCTTCCATTTTCAGCAATTACTTCTTTTTAATTGTTTGAATTCATTGTTTTTGTTTTTTTTTCTCCTCTAATTGTAGGTCAAGGCTCTATATCTCATTATCATGTACCTTTTCCTCTATCCCTTGCTTCTCATTTTTTGTACCTTCCTCACTCTTTCTTAGCCCCCCTCCCCCCGATTCTAGCCCAATTATTCTTTCCATGTGATATCTTATTTATTTCTTTTTTCTTTCTTTCATCATTATCATAGAACTGATAATGTGAAAAATGTGTGAGGAATTACTTCAGTAAGTACATCTGAGAACTTGCAGGCTTCAGCAGTAAGGTATTTCACAGGTATTTAGCTAGTTTGTAAAGGATTCACCCCTTTCCCCACATAAAAAGTGACAAACTCAGGAGAAAAAGAAATCCGCCAAGTGAAAATATTTYAAGATAACTGCTGCAAACTACAAGCAGTAGGTGAAAGGGCTAATTAAAAAACAATAAACCCAAAAGGTTTTTCAATTCCAAATAGTTTTTAGGTTGTTCTCCACATAAGCAAAAGATATACATAACAGGTCACTGATTATGCATCAATAAATTGTTCACCAAATGAATTACGCTTACCACTGATAAGAGTTCTAACTGAAGAGACTGTAACTGTTTTCAAGTATATGTTCTGACTAATCAGATTATATGTTATATGTATACATGTGATGTTAAGTAACATGTCAATCCAGCCTTCAATGAAAAATCAGAACTAGTTTTTTAGCAGGCTTGAAAGGAGACAAAGAGAGAAACGAGTTTCCATAAGGTAAGGAATATTCATTCACTCCACTGGAGAGTACAACTACGATTCCTCTGCAGCAAGATTTGCTTCAGGAAAGAGGCTTTTAGAATAGCTGTTTATGGAATCTGTTTTTCAGGGTCAAACATTTTACTGTTTTGAAATATATAATGTACTGACTTTTCTCAGTGGGAACAGACACAATTTCTAAATGCTAGACTGTTGCAAAGCTTTTAAAAAATACCTAGTATACACTGATACAACCCATAGGACAAAACTAAAATAATACCTATGACGAGGTTTAATAACAACGATTCCTAGCCAGCACTGATTGAATTAGAAACACGTTTTTCTATTAAAGTCTATGGACAGTTTTTTCTAACCTGCAACACCCCAATGCTACTAAAACACACAGGTTTTAAGACAAACACTTTTGAAAAATATGACATGAAATACCAGAATATTCCAAAGAAATAACACCAACAAGTATCTCCTCTTTAATTAACCAAATTTAGTGTCTGATTATTTGCTCTGACTTCATGCCTTTTTCCATCAGGTGAAAGTAAGTTATATTACCTATCAGGTTTAAACAGAGTTTGCGYAGTTTTATGCAAAATACATCGTTTATACTACTTAACTAAGTAAGTAGTATATTATAGAGTAAGTACAAAAAAATGGCTTTGACAAATCTGAAATTTCAGAAGGCAGAGGAAGAAATGGCAATTAATTCTTTCTCTGAAGCAGACTGGGGAAAATTAACAAACTCTGGGTGGCAATCTCTAATCTGCCCTTTGCCAGGAAGAAATTTTTAGTAGAGAGAAAAAAAACCCCCAAGAATTTATGTGAAAAAAGATCATGCAATTTACTCTTTCTARTGGATCCAGGTTTCCCAGCAATGATAATTGTGAAAATGCTATATAGACAAAGAAATGTCTTTGACATAAAGAATACTATGTCATATGACAAAACTCGGCACTTTTAACTTATCTAAAAGTTCCTATATTTCAGTAAATCCAGTCATATCACTCAGGATTASCTTGTATAAGTATGTCCACCAGTATGTCCTATTTTCTTCATCAGATATTTAATTTAAGCATTGACACAAAGCTCACATTCTCACATATTTGCCTAACAGTCTCATTGTCTATTCTCACTGACCACTTGGGAAGTGCAAAACCAGGGAAATTTAGATTTGGGTTATGTGCATACATGACTACCCGTGATGACTAACACAAATAAACTTAGTAAAATGCATGCAAACATTAAAAATGTGGATTTCATATAATGATCCTCACTTCTGTTACCTTTGTGACTGTAAACAATTATGATGTTCTTAATACCATGATATTTGAGCATCTTAAGATTGCAAAAGCACTGAGTTATGCAGTACTGTAAGATAGGGCCTTTATGCCCCTTTTATAACTGGCAAATTGAAGTTACATGGAATATAAGAGAGAGGTTTAGGATAAACARCCATCCTAATGCACAGAGATCCATTGCTATGTTCCATGAAAAGGCCAAGCACAATGTTCTCTCAACAGCCAGTGGTTGTGCARATGTTTTGCAAGTCTGGATTCTGGTTATCCTCATGCTGGTGGCTGTCAGTGCTTGAGTTTGCTGGCCCTGAGCTGTAACACATTGCTGTACATACAGACAGAGCTGAGACTCACATTTTCTAATTATTGAAAGCCCTCAGCGAGGCAGGGACACAGCTGTACAGAAGGGAATGATGAAACAGCATCTCTGTAGACAGCAATCAGGTTTTATTGCTGCAAGGAGTTGACCAGCATGGAAAATGCTGGCAGCTGCCAAACCCTCATGCACCAAAGATGCAACTTAGCATTAGTGTTCACAGAGGTGTGACTAGTTTTCATCTCAGAACTGCTTGACTAATTCTAAATGGAGCAACAGGATATCTTCAACTGCAGTAGAAGCATTTTTCCATAATTTGAAAATGTTCCCAAGCAGGTAAGTGCTTGAAGGAAGAGAGACAAGGCCTTCTACAAAAAAATTCAATCTCTGATTCCTCATAAAAGCTCATCAAAAGACTCCTTGATTGAGAAGTCCTAGTCTAAACAACATTTGACATCTGGCTTTTCAGAGAATTACCTACAGAGGGATACCCAAACCAGCTGAAATGAGTAGCCACCACTGCAGAATCCTAGGCAAGATGCATTACATTGTGGAACATCTGGATGGGAGGACCATGCTGGATGTGTTATCAYTCTCTTAGACTCCAAACACAAACTCCAGACTACTACGAGTGGGAAGCAGGCAGATACAGCTCTAGGGCTCTGGCACTCAGTGAAGCTCTCAAGTAGCTGAGCCTCATGCTGCCTATGGCATGTGGAATCAAAGAGCATCAGATGATTTATTTAGGATTTATCGCCCAATAATACAACAATGTAGGTCTGGTGCAGTAGGCATGTGGCCCTTAGCAATGAGGACGAGGCATGGGGAACATTCATCCATTTTGTGAGTATTTCCAGTCACCTAACTTCAATTAATAACTATAGCTTGTATTTTYCTACCAACATTGAACCTGATACACACGTGGGCTCATTATACTTGGGTAACCCACTCTTCRTATCATAAGCTATACCATAACACCTCTCATCATCACTATTTCTGCACCTCCTCAGCATTAGACATAAATGCAGTCCTCACACTCCTCTGAATAAGAGAAATTGATCTTCTGGTCTGYGTATCAGCTAAAAGCTGCACAGGAAGATGTGTATTTTCTCCTTTTGGGGACTGACCAAATATTGGAAAAATTTGGCCGACCCATAGATTAGCATGGTTACACAAAAAAAATACTCCCAGTTGATCCAAACATTGGTTTTAACAAACATTCAATTCAAACCAAGCAGCCTCTATCTAAGCAGTTAAAAGCATGTTTGATTTGCAGTATCTACTCCCTGAATTAACTCCCTGAATTAACTTTTCTAAATATTAAAAGTCCACACACGCTGTWGTGGCTCAATGAAATGGATGATGATATTAACTTCAGAGCAGAGAGGATGCAGCATTTCCATGCAGTTAAATCCTTTTCTTTCTTGTAGGATCCTCACATCCTCCTCCTAGGCCAGGCCAGGCAAAAACCTTGGCAAGTTCAGACCAAGGCATCACTTGTTGTGCCCCAAAGCTGGTTCAGTCAATGGCTTTATAGATCCAGCTTGCACTGCAGCACTTCTGGCAGCAATTACTATTTAGAGAACTTGCTTTGCAAACAAGAGTGTACTGTTTCATTGAAATAATGGGACTGGGGGTAGAGATTGTTAAAGAGCAATGAGCAAAACAGGATTGGTAATGAATCTSATGAAATTCTCTGTTTGACTTACAATATCAATTTTGGAGCTAAGTACGTGTTTGGTATAATAACATTACTGATGCCTCATCTCATTTTCTGTTGCAAGGACTTCATTTGCTGGGCTCAGACAGAGGTTATCTGACTCATCTCTCAGATGACAGTGGAGTCATTTCTGTCAAAGACATTGGTCAAATCAGAGCCCTCAGCAACAGCAAGCAACCCTGGTACAGAAGTTAGTCTCACCCGGCTTAGGGCTGGATACCAACTAAAACATCATTTGCAGGCAAAACTAAGAAACGGGTAGAAAATATATCATGATTGGAAAAGTAGATGGCCACTTCGAATTAAACAGATTTGTAAGAAAACAGCTATGAATTACACAAATTATTATACCATTGACATTTGCTTATTTTTTATAACATTTCTTTCATGAAATAGGATTAATATTTAAGATACATACTTTCAAG